GCAATATGTTGCCTCCTCACCACCTAGTTTAACCCCGTAAAAAGCAGCATCAATCACCACACCAATGGGGTGGTTGTAGTTCAACCCCATTCACCTTGAGGTATACTTCCAGCTGCGGAAACGGCATGTGCATACCCCCAGCTGCTGTTTCTGCAGCTAAAGAGGGAGTAGTTGGGGGTGGTAAAAGCAGCTCAATTGCGTGGTTTTACCACCCTCCAACCTCACAGGTGAACAGGCCCTTGGTTCACATCTGTGTGGCTGTGTGTAGGGCAGCCCATTCATATCATCGGGCTGCCTTACCCGCAGAAATGCAGGGAAAGTTGTCCCTGACCCTTGTTTTAAGATTGCACCACACCAAAAAAACACCCCGAGTTTTGCCAATGTATGGGGGTCCCCCTAAAGAGCAGAGCAATTGTCTGCGTGTCAGGAATGAGCGTGATGTTATATCCGCTCAGTGACAGACGGTAATGTGAACCAAGCCTTGGGCAGGGGTGCCTCGTGACTGAAAATACTTTTCAAGGGCACCCCAACTGGAAAAAGGTTGAGAAACACTGATTTATGCTATAATGGTATCAATTCCTTCATCCTCCAGGAACTGCCTGCATATTCTTGCCACATGAGGCCGGACATTGTCATGCACCAGGGGAAACCCTCCTGCACCAGCGTAGGTCTGACAATGGGTCCAAGGATTTCATCCCGATACCTAATGGCAGTCAGGGTGCCATTCTCTAGCCTGTAGAGGTCTGTGCTTCCCTCCATGGATATTCCTCCCCAGACTATTACTGACCCACCACCAAAACTGTCATGCTGAACAACATTACAGGCAGCATAACATTCTCCATGGCTTCTTCAGACCCTTCACATCTCTCACATGTGCTCAGGGTGAACCTGCTCTCATCTGTGAAAAGCACAGGGCGCTAGTGGCGGACCTGACAATTCTGGTGTTCAATGGCAAATGCCAGTCCAGCTCTATGGTGCCGGGCAGTGAGTACAGGGCCCACTAGAGGACATAGGGCCCTCAGGCCACCCTCATGAAGTCTGTTTCTGATTGGTCAGAGACCTTCACACCAGTGGCCTGCTGGAGGTCATTTTGTAGGGCTCTGGCAGTGCTCATCCTGTTCCTCCTTGCACAAAGGAGCAGATACCGGTCCTGCTGATGGGTTAAGGACCTTCTACAGCCCTGTGCAGCTCTCCTAGAGTAACTGCCGTCTCCTGGAATCTCCTCCATGCTCTTGAGACTGTGCTGGGAGACACAGCAAACCTTCTGGCAATGGCAGGGATTGATGTGCCATCCTGGAGGAGTTGGACTGCCTGTGAAACCTCTGTAGGATCCAGGTAACACCTCATGCTACCATAGTGACACTGACCCTAGCCAAATGCAAAACTAGTGAAAAACAGTCAGAAAAGATGAGTAGGGAAAAAAATGTCAGCGGCCTCCACCTGTAAAACCATTCCCGTTTTGGGGGTCATCTCATTGTTGCCCATCTAGTGCACCTGTTGCTAATTTCATTAACACCAAAGTAGCTGAAACTGATTACCAACCCCCTCTGCTACTTAACTGACCAGATCAATATCCCAGGAATTTAATTGACTTGATGCTATACTCTGATTAAAAAGAGTTCCTTTAATTTTTTTGAGCAGTGTACTATAATAATAACAATATATAAAGGTTTCCAGAGCTTTTTACAAAAATAAGATGCCTGGGATTTAGAGATTTCCCATACACAGACAAACTAGAGTGACCATACAAATGTATAACAGCTGCAGGGAAAGCAAGAGATCTGAGTGTACTGAGATCTGAAACTACTATTGGGCGTTGTAGGTTCTAAGGCTACTTTACACTGCTCTGTATGAAAAACGCATCAAAAATGCATTATGCGTTTTTGATGCATTTGCATTGCAGTTTCCCCATATCACAGGGTTAAAAAACTTTAATTAGTCACATAGGAATGCTTCTTATCTATGCTGATGCGACTTCTGTGAGATAACATAGAAGTCAATGGGGCTGAAACTGCACTGAAGTCCACCAGGAACCTTTTTCAAAATCGCATTGTGCTGAGTTAATTAGAAGGGCAGCATTGAATCTAATGTGATTTCTCATTGAATTGGATATAATGTGTGAACCTGGGCTTGAGAACTTCCCATGGGTGTGTTGGGTTTTTGATGTGGTTTCCATTTATTTCAACGGAGTGATGCATTTTCGGCGTGTTTTTTTTTTTTACCGAACCAAACATGAACCAAAAATGCAACAAGAAGGATTTTTTTTTAAGCGTAATGGACCAGTGTGAAGAGATACATAGGATTTAAAGGGATGCAGTTTCCTTCCGCTTTTCATCTGTTTTTTTTTAACCAAACAATGAACAAAAATGGATCAGCGTGGAAGCAGCCTAAGGGCTCGTTCACACTTTATTTCTAACTCTTGCCAAATGCCACCTATAGCGTTTGACAGCATTAGACAGGCATTTGGGAAGCGTTTTTAACGCTCCTCAAACACCCTATGCGCGGTTTTGAGGCGGTTCATAGGCATTTGCTAAGCATTAAAACCGCACCACAAATGCCTATAATGAAGTTAAATGGTATCAACGCTCCACAACCGCCTCGCAACCGCACTGCAAACGCCTGCCAGGTGTTTGAGGAGCTGCACCATAGACTTGAATAGGAGGCAACAACTGCTCCTGACTTGACACGAGGCGTCAGTTTTGCCACAACGCAATGCTAATGCTTCAGTGTGAACAGCACTGTGTGCTGCCATGTGCAGAATTTTCATAGGCGTTTGAGAAGCGTTAAAAACGCCTGTCTGACGCCTGCTGACAAAGCTAGTGTGAACGTAGCCTAAAGATAACCTACTTGGTGAGAAATATGGGGCTTCCAATGTTGATCTTTCTCTGATAATGCTAATTGCCTTGCTTTTATACTGAGCTTTTGGGTTCAATTATGCAAATCAGAAAATCATGGCAATATCAACTTGCTCCAGGTTAGAGGTTCAAGCAGTTGTGTATTTAGGTTTTGTGCTGCCTGAGGCAACACAAAATTGCCCTCCCTGGAGTGAGCCTGACATTGACCAACAACACCCCTGCCATTCCACCTGAGACAGCCTTCCACTACCATTGCCCCCATACACCAGCCACTGCCCTCCCAGTGAGAGAGAGAAAGACACTCACATTCACAGCTCTGGACATCCCCTGGGTCAAGTAGCCCACAGCCTCTCTCAGATCCCACCTGCTCCACAAGCTGCCCCCTTAAAAAATGCCGCCCTAGGCAAATGCCTGTTTGCCTTGTGGTAAATACTCCTCTGGGTTCAAGGTGCCAAGGCCAAAAAGTGGTATGACAGCCCAACAACTAGCATTTTTCAGTATGTGACATTAGCAAAGGCAGCCTCCATGTTTATCTCAGGAAGGTTTACGTTATAATATAATCACTTCTGAATACACATTGAGATTTGAAGATCTCTGTGCCATGGTACAATACTTGTTCCCTTTTGTATTTAGAAAATGAAACAAACCACTGACATAGCATTCATTATAATTATATTTTGGCTGAGTTGGATTGAGCACCATTGTAGATCCTGTCCCTTCACTGATGTAAGTGTGAGACTAGGCAGATGTCTTCATTTCCATCAGACCTCTGCCTTTCTGTAACTAGTAATCTCATAGCCTCCTTAGCCTAACATGGGCGAAAACAAAAGTCTATTCTTAGATTTGTCACATAAAAATACATGTTTATAAATATAATACCTATAAGAAGAAGTTTATGATAGTGGCATTGATAGTTATTGTTCATATTATTACCCTGAGGTTTATTGGACCTTTACTATATATATATATATATATATATATATATATATATATATATATGTGTGTATGTGTATATATATATATATATATATATATATATTAATAAAAAAGAAAAAAAATCAACATGACCTGATTTTTTTTTTTTGGAATGGGATAAAGCCTCTCCTTTTTCTTAATAAAAAGAAGAAAAAAATCAACATGATCTGAATTTTTTTTTTTGGGAGGGGGGGGAATGGGATAAAGCCTCCTCTTTAAAAAAAAAAAAAAAAAAAAAAAATCAACATGACCTGATTTTTTTTTTGGGGGGTGGGGTTGATGGGATAAAGCCTCCTCTTTTTTTTTTTTTTTTTATAAAAGGAAAAAAAAAATCAACATGACCTGAATTTTTTTGGTTTTGCATGGGATAAAGCCAGTCTTTTTTATATTTTTATGTGTTTGCAGCATACAATAAACATGCAGGTGGCCATGCACAAGGAACGCAGGACAATATTTAAGACTGAAGCAAGTCCATCCTTCTAACAGCACAAGGTCTACAACTGATATCTGATCTATATTTTACTACAAGCAATTATTATATTTTACAGTCACTTTTTAATATTATTGCATATATACCTCCAGAATCAACTTAGTAATATACTTTTTTTTAATAATGTAGTGATAATAGTAATAAGAGTTATTTACTGTAGTCATTGAGGACAATTGTATTAAGAGGGCTATAAAACACTAACCATGTAGTATAACTTTAAGGCAAAGTTAGAGATGTAGACCCAAACTGAATAACATTTGACATCTTCACATCAAGATTATTATAATGAAAGCTGTAGATTTAAAATACTGAAAAAGATTTTTAAAATCGCATTAACGTATTAGTGCTTATATGACATTTTAACAATTGGATTTAAGTGTATTTAAAGACGACTGTTTGGTTGTTCTTTGTCTATGTCCAAGCAGGATCATTTACAATATTATAGTACTGTACAATATATACTAGCTATGCATTGTGTACTTTGCCCATACCTGTGGTATACTAACAATATCTCACAATTACACTCCTTCCATGCTACACACTACTTTCAGGCAGGGGATCAATATACAGCTTGAGCTGTGAAAAGTTAAAGTTATAGCTAAACAGACATAGATTCAGAAGAAAAGCCATATTAACTTGAAAACATTGTAAACACATGTATAATGAAATAATGCACTCACCAGCATTGATGGAACAAGCAATAATGAGTACAAAGGGGAGATGAGTCCACTGGATCATGTTCATCTAGAGTACCTTCTGTGTCAGTTTTAGTGATGTACTGTCATAGAGCAGATTTATATGGCACTGCAAATTAATCCTTGAAAAGACAGAGGAAGGATTTATCGCAATTCCATCAGCATGAGAAATCATCGAAGCGTACTTTACTGTTTCAGCTGCCTGCTTCTAGTGCTCTGGATCCTAAGCTCTGCCCTTTTTAACCCTCCTCATGCCCACTGTCTTCTAAGGAGATATGATGGTGACAAATACTAACACAGGAAACCTACTAACACCAGCTTTTGGGGACATCCTAATTGTTATTATACCTCTGTTTTCACATTGTTGTGTTGGTATTTTTTTTGTTATAACATAGTATGTTTCTGACTTTTTTTTTAAATGCTATGTTTTGCTTAGAATTTAGTTTTTTTTTTTTCTGCCCCAATAGGAAAGAATAAATTAAAGATAAAAAAATGTAATTAATATTTAATAAATATTTTTGCATTTAGTGGAAACCTTCACCCTATCAGATTAGGAAGAATTTATCACCCTTAAAATACACCCACTAACCTGACTGGGTGTTTGCAGCAGCAACTCAGATTATCTGGACTTGGAAATTCTTTTGTACATTTCCCCACTGTAAAGCTGACAAAACAAGAGGAATCCATTCATCTATTTTATAGGAACCGTATTTAGATAACTGCTATCCATAGGGTTCTATAAAACTGATAGACGACAAGCATATAAGCCAATCAATGGATCATACATGGACTCCAGAAAGGTTTAAAAACAACTTCTAATTTAGTTATGAATTATATAAATGAAACTTGTCATAGATACAGTGGAAGAATGAATGTAGCCACCCTACGACAGGAGGTGTGCTACTGGCTGATCACTAGATGAAAATAAAGGAATAAAAGCTTGAAAATAAGAGAACAAATGCAGCCACAACAATGATTTGTAAGCTACAATATATTAAAAGTGAAATGCTGAATTTAAAAAAAAAAACCCTGACCAGCGTGGCTGTACTGTAAAACCGAGAACTGAGCAATCACATGACCACTGATTACTCAGTTATCAGTCTTCAGTGAGCAGAGAGCAATGATTGTCAGTCTCCGGCTCTCTGCTCTGTCCTTCCAACATTCACTGAAGCAGCAGGCTGTGGAGGCGGGTGGGAGTAGCTGGCTCAGGCTCTAAGCGGTGCACTGAAAGGCCAAGCCAGCTGCTTATCAGGCAACTGAGAGGATGCCGACATTATTGTCGGGATTCCTGCAGAATTAAAAATTAAAAAAACGCGCAGTTGTGTGAATTTATAAATTAAAGCAACAAACACAAAAAGAGGATATCCTCGCTAATCCGCAAATCAATAAATACCCAGTGTTGCACTATGTAAATTAAATACTAAACTACGTGAACAGGGATATCACTGTATTAGTGTCACTGGTTCCCACAAAGTGTCAGTTAGTGTGCGCTGCAATATCACAGTCCCACTGTAAGTCACTGATCACTGCCATTAGTATAAAAAAAAAAAAAAAAAAAAAAAAATTCCAGTTTTATATGCCATAGTTTGTAGATGCTATAACTTTTGTGCAAACCAATCAATATATGCTTATTTGGATTCTTTTTTATTAAAAATATGTAGCAGAATACATATTGGTCTAAATTTATGAAGACATGATTTTTGTAATATTGTGAGTTAGGGACCTTAGATTGTATGCCCCTTGAGGGTTAGGGATTGGTGTGAATGTACAATATATACAGTTGTGTTCAAAATAATAGCAGTGTGTTGAAAAAAGTGAATAAAGCTCAAAATCCTTCTAATAGCTTTTATTTCCATACACACAAATGCATTGGGAACACTACACATTCTATTCCAAATCAAAAAAATGAAGAAAAATATATCAAATTTGTGTTGTTCCTCTAAAAGTGTTGAAGAAAAGTGAATATTAGACTGTTCAAAAAAATAGCAGTGTTTGTATTCTTCTTTACAAACTCAAACATTCACTATATAAACTGAAAAATGTTTGAAGATTTTGCTTTCCTTTGAATCACTTAATGAATATTTAGTTGTATAAGCACTGTTTCTGAGAACTGCTGTACATCTGTGTTGCATGGAGTCAACCAACGTCTGCCACCTGTGAACAGGTATTCCAGCCCAGGATGATTGGACTACATTCCACAGTTCTTCTCTATTTCTTGGTTTTGCCTCAGAAACTGCATTTTTGATGTCACCCCACAAGTTTTCTATTGGATTAAGATCCGGAGATTGGGCTGGCCACTCCATAACGTCAATCTTGTTGGTCTGGAACCAAGATGTTGCACGTTTACTGGTGTGTTTGGGGTCGTTGTCTTGTTGGAACACCCATTTCAAGGGCATTTCCTCTTCAGCATTAGGCAGCATGACCTCTTCAAGTATTCTGATGTATTCAAACTGATCCCTGATCCCTGGTATGCGATAAATAGGCCCAACACCGTAGTATGAGAAACATCCCCATATCATGATGCTTGTGCAACCATGCTTCACTGTCTTCACAGTGTACTGTGGCTTGAATTTAGTGTTTGGGGGTCGTCTGACAAACTGTCTCCAGCCACTAGACCCAAAAAGAACAATCTTACTTTCATCAGTCCACAAAATGTTGCGCCATTTCTCTTTAGGCCAGTCAATGTGCTCTTTGGCAAATTGTAACCTCTTCAGCACGTCTTTTTTTCAACAGTGGGACTTTGCGGGGGCTTCTTGCAGATAGCTTGGCTTCACATAGGCGTCTTCTAATTGTAACAGTACTCACAGGTAACTTTAGACCTTCTTTGATCTTCCTGGAGCTGATTGTTGGCTGAGTCCTTGCCATTTTGGCTATTCTTCTATCCTTTCGAATGGTAGTTTTTCGCTTTCTTCCACGTCTTTCAGGTTTTGGTTGCCATTTTAAAGCATTTGCGATCATTTTAGCTGAGCAGACTATCATTTTCTGCACTTCTTTATATGTTTTCCCCTCTCCAATCAACTTTTTTAATCAAGGTACGCTGTTCTTCTGAACAATGTCTGGAACGACCCATTTTCCTCAGAATTTCAGAGAGAAATGCACTGTAACCAGCATGTACAACATTTGCTGCCTTCCTTCCTTAAATAAGGGCAATAATTGCCACCTGTTTTTCAAAGAATGAATGACCTCACTAATAGAACTCCACACTGCTATTATTTTGAACATGCCCCTTTCAATTAGTGATTCAATTACACAGAAGCAGCAGCATGCATGTCATGACTGTTGGGTCTGTTGGATTTCTATTACTCTACTACACCTGCTAGTAAATTATTTGCCATGTAGAAATATCATTTCTAGCAAAAACAGTGATTGATCAGGTTAGTGATGTCTGACTGCTATTATTTTGAACACAACTGTATGTAAAGCACTGTGTAAATTGCGTGCGTTATATAAGTACCTGAAATAAATAAATAAATGATAAAGTAATCAAATCAATATATCACTAAAATCAAGTCATGCAGGGCCCTCCTAACCCTCTTGTATTGAACTGTATTGTTGCTGTATTGTCTCCCTTTATATTGTAAAGCGCTGAGCAAACTGTTAGCACTATATAAATCCTGTATAGTAATAATATTAATAATAATGTAAAGTGAATTACATAAAAGTGCACAATATGTGAACCAAACACCAGGTCAAGGTGCACATATCATGTAAAAAATATATAACAGTCCTCATCAAATCATATAACAATCCTGTTCAGGTGAATGACGCAAATTCTTCATCTTAATATTCGTGGACACCAACATGATTAAACACCATGTGAAAGCAAGATGGGTGCTTACCAGATGTTCCAACCCTTTAATTACAGGAGGTCAGCAAACACTTTAGTGTCAAACCAAGCTCTAGACACTTAGGCATCAATTCAGACCACACATATCCTAATCGCTCCACAGACCATCAAGATCACTTAAGGTATGTGCACACTCAAACAAAGAGAAGCGTCACAGCATTAGACAAATCATCCAACTGCTAAGGATAGTAATTCCAACTGACCTTTACACCATGACGTCACAAGGGAGGCTCCAACCGATGAGTTTCATCATACCAGACATCTTCCTGGGCTAGGACTCCTAGGGAAGCACTTTCCTTAGTAAAAACAGCTAAAAGTAAACACAAAAACACTGGTTAGGCACACGGTTAACCCTTTGGTCACCCTAGATGTTTAACCCCTTCCCAGCCAATGTCATTAGTACAGTGACAGTGCATATTTTTAGCACTGATCACTGTATTAGTGCCACTAGTTCCCACAAAGTGTCAGTTCGTGTCAGATTGCCCAAAGCAATATCACAGTCCCGTTGTAAGTCACTGATCACTGCCATTACTAGTATTAAAAAAAAAAAAAAAAATCCACTTCATATGCCATAGTTTATAGATGCTATAACTTTTGCGCAAACCAATCAATATATGCTTATTTGGATTCTTTTTTACTAAAAATATGTAGCAGAATACAAATTGGCCTAAATTTATGAAGACGTGATTTTTTAAAATGTTTTATTGGTTTTTTTTATAGCAGAACGTACAAATATTGTTTTTTTTTTTCAAAATTGTCAGTATTTTTTTGTTTATAGCACAAAAAATAAAAAAACCAGTGGTGATCAAATACAATTAAAAGAAAGCTGTATTTGTGTGGGAAAAATTTTATTTATTTATAATAAAATTTTATGTGGCATAAATTTTATTTATGTAGTGTTGCATGACCGTACAATTGTCAGTTAAAGTAACACAGCAACGTATCGCAAAAAATGGCCTGATCAGGAAGGGCGGTAAATCTTCCTGAGGTCAAGTGGTTAAGTATATGAATGTAAGGAGCAGTATTGGGAAGTAGCTCAAAGGAAACCTGTCATCAGATAATTACAAGGACTGACATTGCTTACCTGTTTCTAAAAATGCTAACTGCTTGGCTTTAATACTTTCTAATTCGCTGACCCAGAGCACATAAAGAAACTAGGATAGTAAGAGGAAAACACAGAAGTCCTTCTATGCAAGCATGTCCTAGGTCATCGAGTCAAAGAATTGCGGCAAGAGGATCAGTATTATAAGCAAGCAACTAGCATTTTCAGAAGCTCGCCAAAGGCAGTCTTTATATCTCTTTCCCTGACATGATCCCATTTATTTAGAAATGAGTTTTTATTAAAGTGGAACTGTGCTGCTGGTCTCAGAGCCCTCACTATGATGTGCAAGTATATACTGCATTGGCAAGTAAGGGATTTCAGCCAAAGGCAACTAAATTGTGGCATTTGAAAATACAGTATCTGCACACAATTAACTACTCATAATAATAATAATAATGACATACATATCTGTGAATATATTTAACTTCCACTAGATGTCACTATTCCTTGTCTGCTTTTTAGGAAATACAGTAAGAACAGCTGGAAGTGAATAATCCCTGGCTATATATCAAATAGCATCTATGTATCAAATGTATTCCCACTGGAGTGCTATTTGTTCTACACTTGGTACGTAATAATGAATAAAGGCACCCTACAGGGTAAAGGAAAGGGAAAGAGAAAGGCCACAAAGTAGTATATAAACCAATAAACAGTAATTACTAAAAGTTTTGCTTTATTAAAATATTTTATGATTGTATCAATTAAATACACATATTTTATATAAATAGTAGGGAATATGACATGTATGACATTTACTACTAAATCTGCCATTAAGAGATGTCATGCTTTAACTCCATAAGCACCGAAGAGCATTATTGGCCTATCCTGCTATGTCTTCTGAGATGGTTAAACTCCTCCAAGACCCTTATCATATGGTGTTCTTTACATATAGAAAACTGTTTTAATTCCCCCCAGAGGTGTAGCTGAAAGTAACATTCCCATCTAAAATAGTCCCACTTTAAGCTGGAAAAATTAATGGATTAGGTGTCAAATTCTCATTTATACTTTGATAAATAAAAATACCAATCACAATAAATAGTCTGTTTACTTTGCAAGGTAATTTTTTCCAGAGCTTAGTGAATGTGATGACATTTCACTTTGCAAAGAATACTTATAGTATATGGAAAGCCTCACCTTGTAAAAAAAAAGCCCATTCAGTTTAAAATTGAAATGAAAGGCAGAGCATTTTTGTATAGATATTTAAAAAATTATAAACACTTTTACAGTATTTCCTTTTTTTTTTTATAAGTGATCACATTCCCTCTGTTCTCAGCCGCATAAGAGCTGGGGAGGAGAAACAGCAGCACACTGAGCTTCCCAGTGAATGGCTGTGCAGAGGGAGGGTATCAGAATAAGTCTGATCATATGAGGTAGAGAAATGACCACACTTGTAGTATATTGTGTGTGTGTATATATATATATACAGGGCTCAGCATAAATGAATACAGCCCTTTAGAAAAGTAAGATTTTAATCAATATCTCAATGAACACAAGAACAATTTCCAACATTTTTACAAAACTGAGTTTTATAGAACATTTGTTTAACTCATTACATGAAGGTTAGGTTAAATTGTTACAAACCCAGGACCCTGAATTCACTATTTCTGATCTCCCATAGTACACAGAACATGTGTGCAATTATGTTAGTAAATATAAACTGCTAAATACCTTTTCTCATCAGCAGTTAGAGCAGTCTTGTGACTTCTTTCAGTGTCCAGCTGAGCACTGGTTAAAGCTTGTAGGAGGAGTTTTCTCTAGGAGGATGCAGAATCCCTGATTTCTCTCTAGACAGTGCTGATTGGCCCTGTGCTGATCACATGCACTCTCCCAAGAAAAATAAACATCTTTAGCAATATACACTAAACTGAGCATGTGCAGAAGAGCTACGGGTTTAGTCTGTCTTATAAGCAGATAAGGCGTGGACATTTGAACAAGAGGAGCAGCAGAGAAGACAGGATCAAACGGCCCTTTTACACAATGCAGTGGATTAGCCCCTTAGGTTAAAAAAAAAAAACCTCTCTAGAAATACAAACCAAACTGAGCATGTGAAGAGTGACTACACACGATATGTCTTATCAGGAGATAAGAGGGAGACACTGGAAGAAGGGGAGGATTAGAGATAGTCAGGATCAAACAGCCCTTTTACAACATGCGAAGGATTAACCCCTTAGGTTCCACAGTGAGTATAACATGCATGCTTTACTGCATATACAGACTGATTTTACTGTTGTGGGTTTAGTAACATTTTAATATTATAACTTAGATTACAAAATCTTCAGTTTTACTCAAATTAGTTGATGTAAGAATGAATACACCCCACAACAAATACTACTACAGCTAGTATTTTGTATGACCTCCATGATTTGTAAGGACAACACCAAGTCTTCTAGGCATGGAATGAACCGATTGTGATATATTGCAACATCAATCTTTTTCCATTCTTCAAGAACTACCTCTTTTAGAGCCTGGATGCTGGATGGAGAGTGATGTCTCTTTTTGATTGGGTTCAGATCAGGAGACATATTTGGCCATTGAATCACTTTCACCCTGTTCTTCTTCAGAAATGCAACAGTGGCCTTAGATGTGTTTTGGATCATTGTCATGTTGGAAAAGTGCACGACGACCAAGGGCATGGAGTGATAGTAGCATCTTCTCTTTCAATATAGAGCAGAACATCTGTGAATTTATAATACCATCAATGAAATGCAGCTCCCCAACCCAGCAGCACTCATGCAGCCTCACAGAAGGACACTGTCACCACCATGTTTCACTGTAGGCACCATGCATTTTTCTTTCTACTCCTCACCTTGCGACAGCATACAGTTTTGAAGCCATCCATTCCAAAAACATTTATCTTGGTCTCATCGCTCCAGAGTACAGAGTCCCAGTAGTTGTCTTCTTTTTCAGCATAGGCCCTGGAAAATTCTAGGCAGGCTGGTCATTAGCTCTGAGGAAAGGGATACGTTTTCTACCCGAAAAGCATCAGCCATTTGACCGCACTGACAGTGAGAACACCATTTGCCTGAACACCTTGTTGTGGCCATCGTCATTTTTCTATGCTTTTTAGATACATTCTTCGTCTGTGAGTATGTTTTTATTTTTTCATTCTTACAATAAACCTTGGATAATGCACTAGGTGTGTGCTCCACCTGTTTTCACTTTATCCTTTAGCTAACTGCAGTGAACTTGCATGGCGATTTTCTTCAACCTTTCTCAGCAGAAGATGCTCCTGTTGAGGTGTTAACTTCAGTGGATGGCCTGGATATCTCTGTGTGATGGTTGCAGTTCCATCTTTGTTAAATGTTTGTATCACTTTTGCTACAGAATTCTGACTGATAAGTAAAGCTTTGCTGATCTTGTAGACTTCACCTTTCTTGTGTAAATCCAAAGTTATTTTCTTTTTCAGGCCTTGTGACATTTCCTTCCATGTGGTGCCAGCATGAAATGGGAAGGGGTTTTCTTTGTTAAGTAACACCATTTTATATTCAACTGTCTGCTGGACACCTGTTTAAAAAATAATTAGAGTGAGCTGTAGTTGAATTCTTGTTAATTAGGATTTTGTTGTCTAAAATTTCTCTTTGCTCCTAAGACTTTCATTGGGGTGTATTTATTTTTACAACATGGTCTTGAATGAATTTGTTAGGAAAAATACTTTTTTGTGTGTGCAAATTAACAAATCCTGTTTGCAATCAACGCCCCAGAGTATTTTGCAGTATAGTGTCCCATAGAAAATGTTGATTCTGAAAGGAAAGTAAAGGTTTTCTGACAAATCTGTTGGGGTGTACTTATTTATGCTGAGCACTGTATATATATATATATATATATATATATATATATATATCTACAGTATCTCACAGAAGTGAGTACACCCCTCACATTTTTGTAAATATTTTATTCTATCTTTTCATGTGACAACACTGAAGAAATGACACTTTACTACAACGTAAAATAGTGAGTGTACAGCTTGTATAACTGTGTAAATTTGCTGTTCCCTCAAAATTGCTCAACACACAGCCATTAATATCTAAATCGCTGGCAACAAAAGTAAGTACATCCCTAAGTGAAAATGTCCAAATTGGGCCCAATTAGCCATTTTCCCTCCCCGGTGTCATGTGACTCGTTAATGTTACAAGGTCTCAGGTGTGAATGGGGAGCAGGTGTGTTAAATTTGGTGTTATCGTTCTCAGTCTCTCATACTGGTCACTGGAAGTTCAACATGGCACCTCATGGCAAAGAACTCTCTGAGGATCTGAAAAAAAGAATTGTTGCTCTAAAAAAAAGGCTATAAGAAGATTGCCAAGACCCTGAAACTGAGCTGCAGCACGGTGGCCAAGACCATGCAGCAGTTTAACAGGACAGGTTCCACTCAGAACAGGCCTCGCCATGGTCGACCAAAGACGTTGAGTGCACGTGCTCAGCATCATATCCAGAGGTTGTCTTTGGGAAAAAGACATATGAGTGCTGCCAGCATTGCTGCAGAGGTTGAAGGGTGGGGGGTCAGTCTGTCAGTCAGACCATATGCCGCACACTGCATCAAATTGGTCTGCATGGCTGTCGTCCCAGAAGGAAGCCTCTTCTAATGATGATGCACAAGAAAGCCCGCAAACAGTTTGCTGAAGACAAGCAGACTAAGGACATTGATTACTGGAACCATGTCCTGTGGTCTGATGACACCAAGATAAACTTATTTGGTTTAGATGGTGTCAAGCTTGTGTGGTGGCAACCAGGTGAGGAGTACAAGGACAAATGTGTCTTGCCTACAGTCAATGATGGTGGTGGGAGTGTCATGGTCTGGGGCTGCATGAGTGCTGCCGGCACTGGGGAGCTACAGATCGTTGAGGGAACTATGAATGCCAACATGTACTGTGACTGTCGGAGATCGCCGCGCTGCTGGGCTCGGCGCAGGCGCAGTACACCTCCCTGTACGCGGGCGCCGGGACTTGGCCGACCGCGGCAACCAGGTTCGCGCATGCGCAGTAGAGACCACGGGCGCGCGCCTGGCACCAATGACAGCGCAGGGTGGGATATTTAAACGGCCCTGAGCTGTCATTCAGTGCCTTTTGGTCTTTGTATCCTGTGAACCTGTGAACCTGTTTAAAGTAAGTTGCTGACCCGGATTGTGCCCTGACCTTGCTGTTTTCTCCTGTTCTTGACCCTTGCTTGCCTGACCTCTCTCCTGAATGCCCCCTATTGGATCTGACCTGCTGTTGCTGACCTGGCGTGTGACCCGACTATTCTTTGCCCGCTGCTCTGTACCGCACCGTCCCCATAGTTACCGACCCGGCTTGTATGACCTTGCACTTGCTCAGCCATCCATCCATCCATCCGTCCCTCTCAACGGGGTCTCCAGACCTCCTTATACCTGGCTCTCTCCCGTGGGAGCCCCTGGCGAATACCCCTACCACTGACGGGTGTCCTCAGTAGTCACGACCTGGTCCTGGGGTACTCCAAGTCCATCCCCACCATCAGGGGCCCTGGTGAACAAGTACTCTGGGGCTTAGACTCCGTGCGCTGGGAACATCCGATCAGTGGAGTGCTAGTGGTACCGCCGGGCGGTCCCTTACAGTGACATACTGAAGCAGAGCATGATCTCCTCCTTTCAGAGACTGGGCCACAGGGCAGTATTCCAACATGATAGCGACCCCAAACACACCTCCAAGATGACCACTGCCTTGCTGAAGAAGCTGAGGGTAAAGGTGATGGACTGGACAAGCATGTCTCCAGACCTAAACCCTATTGAGCATCTGTGGTGCATCCTCAAATGGAAGGTGGAGGAGCGCAAGGTCTGTAACATGCACCAGCTCTGTGATGTCATCATGGAGGAGTGGAAGAGGACTCCAGTTGCAACCTGTGAAGCTCTAGTGAACTCCATGCCCAAGAGGGTTAAGGCAGTGCTGGAAAATAATGGTGGCCACACAAAATATTGACACTTGGGGCCCAATTTGGACATTTTCACTTAGGGTTGTACTCACCGTTGATGCCAGCAGTTTAGACATTAATGGCTGTGTGTTGAGTTATTTTGAGGGGACAACAAATTTACACTGTTATGCAAGCTGTACACTCACTACTTTACATTGTAGCCAAGTGTCATTTCTTCAGTGTTGTCACATGAAGAGATAGAATAAAATATTTACAAAAAATGTGAGGGGTGTACTCACTTCTGTGAGATACTGTACTTTATATTATATATATATATATATATATATATATATATATATATATATATATATATATATATATACAGTATACTTATAGATAGATAGATAGATAGATATTGAATGAACACACATAGGCCAGTGACAAGTCCATTTACACATTAAAAGGGAGGTCATTAAGATTGATAGAGCTGGCAGACTACTTCTATGCTAATTCTTCTTAATAGGCAAACTGTACCTGTATGACTGTAACAAGGAAAGATTAATTGGTCAGATGTCCAGTTGTTTACTGTCCTGTTGTAGACAATGTAGCTTAATTGTAAGTCTTAATTGTTGCTTTTGGTAAAATGCAAGTAGGGTCTTTTCATGTTAAGATGAAAAGTGCTTGACCAACCAATCAGCTGTTTTTAGAAACTATATATCAAGAAAAGATTTTTTGAGTGCTTAAACAACATCATCATGGATGCACAGGTATAGATCATAACTTGCATTATTGCATGCATGGAAGCTACCTAGGTGCATATTATAGACCAGACATAGATCAGACATATGCTGGATGGTGTAGTATCTCTATGCTTGATATAAAGTATCTTAAATGGGACTCTGAAGGCTGTTTGTTGTAATATTTAAAAAATATTCAGCTGGGTTTTTGTCATCTGTTGCAAGTATCTTTTGGACTGTTCTGCAACCGAAGAAAATGTATTTGTCTGGATGAATCAAGTTGCTGCAGGAAAATTCATTTTTGGGTAGAAGAGTTTGATATTCCATATCGGCTAACTCTTACCTCAACAACAATATTTATAATTATCACTCCTCATCCATGTAATATGACAACAACACTGTGTTCTCATGCCTAGCGTGGCCAGTTTTTAAAAGGGGAGCAGATGGATTGGCAGGAACACCAGAGATTTCACAGTAAGGAAGCAATACAAAGAGAAAAGGATACTTTTTCATATAAGCACAGTGCAGCAGGTACATATC